TACGACAGGCGGTTACCTTGGTCGGATTTGAGGTCGGATGTGTCGAGTTTGAGCAGGTCGAACTCAGACACATTCTTAGAAATACCAAATCAACCTTTACTAAAAAGTGGCGGGCGCTTCATCTCGGAGAGCTCCGTAAACTTGCTCCTTTGATTCTTCGATCAGCGGCGAATCCTCGTTCTCCACGTAGCGAAGGATATTTTATCCCTAAACATAATCGAAAAACCGAATTCCAAGTGTAAAACTCTGATCCCAGTTAAACAAACCGGACAAAGATAAAAAAATTTCCAACATTGAATTTTCCAAAAATGATACCCAAAAGTTGTGTGAGGTGTTGAAATAAGAAAGGGAAGCCAGCGATGAAGAGGGAGTTATGGGAGAGGAGAATGAGGTTGCCGGATTTGGTGATGAAGAAGGCGAAGAAAGTTGTTGGGCTTGGTGGTGGCATTGGTTGAGCATTCTGTGAGATGTGGAGAAGAGATGTGAACAAGGGACGTCCTTTTTTTTTTTCCTTCTTTAAATTGTAGGGTTTAATTTTTACACTTTAAAATTTAGGGGTCTAATTTTTTCATTTATGAAAGTTTGAGGGTTTAATTTCTACGTTTGAAAGTTTAAGGGTTCAATTGTAACAACAATCATACTTCATGGTGGTTTTGCAATTTACCCTAAATTTAATATTATTTTGTAATAAAACAATAATTTTAAAAAATAAAATATGTTATATGATAATTTGAAAGCTTATCATATAATATAAAATTTTATGAAACAATTTATGTTATGAATGTTATTTTAATTTTTATTACATTGCCTTTAATAATTATTAATAATGGAAAAACAGAAGTTTTACAATTTTAATAGTTATTCCTTAGAAAAATAGTTATTAAAAGAAAGCATGAGTGTAAAAATATATATTGAAACTACTCATTTAAATGTATCCATAAATCATAAAATTGATCCACGATAAGAATGTGAAGGGTTGCAACGAATATTAAAAAATTGTAAATAATGCTTTCTTAAAATTAATTTTATAATTTATGACTTTGAAATTTCAAAATTTTAAAAATCTAACAGTTAAAGTCATTTTTAAATATAAAGTATAACAGTACATTAAAATTAATAATTTAAATATATTTATAGACTTGAAAAAAAATGTAAAAAATTAAAATACGAGAATATTTATTATAAAAAGTTTCTATCAATTTAATTCTAAATTTAATTATAAAAAGTCTAGAGGTACGACATATTTTTTTGGAGGTAAACCTTTAAGTTTTAGATAATACTTAAATGATCATATTTTTAATTTTTAATTTAAGGAAAGGTAAATTGAAGTCTTTAGGACCTTTCACTTAACTAGCATATTTACATCAAAATTAAATTAATATTTCTTTTTACATTTTTTAATATTTATAAAATTGAATTAGTAAATGAATTCAAATTTTTGTATTTAGGTAAAATAAAATGAGCAGTAATAAACCGAACCACTATCACCATCTCACCCATTCATTTATTTCATTCTAATAACTTATAAAACTTTTAAAATTTCATCATTAATTACAATAAAACAAAGTCATAGGTCTTATAATTAATTTTTAGAAATAAATGTATATATCTTTTTTATAATCAACTATATAATTCTATAATTCTTCACTCAAAATATTTATTTTTAAAATTCATAACTTTTCATTATAAAATAACTAATAAGTAAATTTTTTAAATAAATGTAATCATTTTAATATGGAATATTATTAAAAATAGATTTTTTCGATAAAAGTAGTTCTTAATTAAAAAAATGTACTAAATCATCGTTACAAACTCATACATCCCACATAAACTTTGGATTTTTAAATATTTATTTATTATTTATTTTTAATAAAGACGGTTAATACTTTTAATGAATAATAATTTAATTATTATTATTATTTTAGGTGCCAATTAGTATTGAGCTAAGTTCATCTTGACAAATGACTATAGCATTTGATATATGTTCAACGTTTTAAAAATTCAAATGATCATTAATATATGATTAAATGAAATTAAGTATCATGTGCAAGTATTGAAATACTAGTTGAAGGAAAAGTACAAATTCTATCCTCTGCATGAATAACGAATTTTTTTATATCTATAATTGGTTTTTATTTTAAGAAACAAATTTTATTTAAGAAAAAATATTGTTATAGATCTTTAGTTTCTTTTTAAGTTTGATTTTTTTCTTGGTGTTAAATTAAATAGAAATTAATTAAAAAAACAATTTATATTTCATTAAATTATTCTAAAAGTAATTGATTCAATAAAAATTATATATAATTCTTATAAAATAAGAAAATTTGGTTTATTATTTCAAGTTTCATCAAATCTATATTTAAACAGATAATTATTTATTTTTACTATACAAAATATTTTTTTTTTTACTATAGAAAAAATACTGTTCTAAGTCCTATTGAACTGATTTTATCGTATAAAGTTTGATTCATAAATATTGAGAGTTGTGTCTAATAGACATTTGAACTTTAAAAAAATATTTAATAGGTCTCCAAATTTTTAATTCTACATCGAATAGGTTTTCGAGTTCTCAATTTTATGAGTTCAACAATCTATTAGTTTAAGAACTTTATTATACATAATTTTTTTTAAAGTTCAAAAACCTGTTTTACTTCTTTTTTTTTTTTACAAGTTCAAAGACCTGTTAATTATACATCATATGGAAATTTTGGGGAGAAAATTTATAAATTAACCAATTTAGTATAAAAATATATAAACTAAATACATATCAATGCGCTTAAATTATTTTTATGTAATCTCCTAACATAAAGTTGTGGATCTACCATCTATAATGTAATATTTGAAATGTAATATTTGACACCAAAATTCTAGAGCATATTTACTTAATTTTATATAAAGCTCCTAAAAAGATTTCTAGATCCACCGTACAATTATAATTTCTTTAGGAGAATTAAAAAAAGTTAAAGCTATATATATATATATATCTATATCTATATCTATATTTATATCTATACTATATTAAAAAGATAGGAGCTAGGAAAAACATTTTTGGACACGTTTGCCCTTTACTAAATATTATTAYAAATATTAAATTAATTATTAATTATTAATTATCCATACTATAAATGCATGGAATATAAAAGGTTAGAATGCAAAAAGTTTTCCAACAACATAAAATTAATTTTTTCTTTAATTAAAATTCATACTAGAATTTCAAGAGTTTTAGAATTTGAAAGGCTTTTGTAACGTTTTATCCTCTACTACTATAAAAATAGGCTTTCTTCTACATGTTTTTMACAAGTTTCAATACTTTTTTATTCTTAGTTACTTCAAACATCTCTCAAAGATGATTCAATCATGAAAAYATSTCAAGATATTTGTGACATATTCATCAAGTTGCAAGGGAGGTATATGTTGAATGTACATATCTCGAATACTAGGTTTGTGACATTACCATTCCACAATTTTACAAAGTTGAATAATAGTATATGTCAAGCAATCTTCAAGAATGAACATATTTACTCTAAAAGATGAGTGTATAGTAAGTATTTGGATTTTTTTTTGTTACTATTGTTATTTTTCTAATTAGTGTGTTTTTTATTTGGAATGTTTTTTTTAGCAATTTTATTTAGTTTAGGATTTGGATTTTTCTTTTTGTTACTAATGTTTTTTTATTGTTCAGTGTACTTTTTTTTATTTGGAATGTTTCTTTTTTGAGCAATTTTATTTAGAATATTTGTTTAAAATATAGATAATTACAAGCGCATGTTCTTATTGTTGAAAAAAAAAACAATCATAGAAGTCAATACATAAAAAAAATTTTAATTAATAAATTAATTATAAACAATAATTTGTATAGAATCTTAAAAGGTGGAATATAAACTTTTGGTATTTTATTTTCTAATAATATAATTTGAAGAATTTTTCTTTAATAATTTTAATTATAATATAAAATTAAATCAATAAAATAATTTATATTTAGTTAAAAAATTCAACATATATAACAAAATGTCAGCTCTAAACAAATATTTAATAAACAAACAAAATATTAAAAAAATAAAATAAAGGACCCGTATTAGGGTGAAATAATTTAAAAATAAAAATATTAAAATACCTATTTACTTTTTTATTAATATATAATTTTTTCCTTTACTTTTAATTTATTTATTTACAAAATATGTCATTAACAATTAATTATAAATAGTACATTTTATTATTAGTAATGAGCTGTCAATAATAATAAATATATATAAAAATTAATCTTAATTATTTTTAAAAATAATTATACTTAAAATATTTTACGTGAAATTATATAAAATTTAAGTTACCTTATAATTAAAAAAAATTTTTACGTGCATTGCAAGTGGTAATACACTAGTATATATAAAAGAAGAGAATGATTAGGGTGGGGGAAGAGAACAGTAGTTTTCGTGACAATTCATGAAATTAAAACGTAAAATTTTCTCCTTCCTCATTCAAAGTGAAATTATAATTGTGTTTAAGATTGAGAACAATTTTTCCTCAATTTTACCACGAGGAACTTAATTTTTTCCGACAATCTTCACGCTATTTCTAAAAATAGCATGGGTGAGTCCTATGCTGACAGAATTTGTTCATCAACCCTTTACTAAAGGTTCTCATGCTCGCTGCGATAGATGTACGTTGGGTAAATTCGAACCCCTCACCTTTAGACAATATAGAATTAATATATAAACTATGTTTAAAATGTAACAAAACTAGTTGATGTCCAAGTAGTCATGCTGCAGGGATTTTTTCTTTTTATTTTTTTTCTCAGTATCATATAACCCAAAAATGCAAATATTTAGAACGGAAAAAGCAAAAAGCAAATATTTTAGAATTACCACTTTATTTTTAATATATATACAAGAATAATTACCACTTTCTTTCATTCACATTCGTCCAAAGCAAAGCCTTAGGTCCGCCGCCCTTCTCCGGCGACGAGTCACGATTCCTTTTCTACGCCGTCGCCGTCGCCACCCGTCGTCTTGTTTTTCTCTTGCGCCGCCGTTGGCCCAATAAAGCCCAAACCCAAAAACCGAACCGATCGATTCCATTTCAGATTAAAGATCGGTTTTTTTCAAAATTGGACATTGGTCCGGTTGTTTGTTCTTCGAAAACCCAAAACATTGTTGTAGTCTCGGGACATTAGATGTAGAAGAAAAGTTTGGTATTTAAACCTATTTTCAAAGATTTCCTGCGAGCGCTTTTGAAAGTCCTCAAAATCCACCATTCACTTCGGGATCGAGCGCTCCAGGGGCTGGTAATTCCGTTTCGCTCTTCACTTTCTTAATTTTCAGTTTAATCTTTCGTTGTACGAATCTGTTTGTTCGAATGTCGCCTTGGGGATGATCATCCGATAAATTCTTTTTAGGGTTTGTGCGCGATAAACTAATAGTTCTTTGTTTTTGTAATTTTGTTTTTAACAGGTTTTTTCTGCTTCTAGAATCTGCTCCGTGTCCTAGAAGATGGTATGTTCCCCTTGAAACATTCTTTTTTGTGCCCTTTTGTTTTGAACTCAGTTGCAAATTTTGCTGGCTGTGTCTGATGGTGGATGTGTTTATTCCTTAAATGTCTCGGATAATTTGAACTACTTCCTTCGAAGGCGTCATCATGGCTTGTTTGTTTTTGTCTTTGTTCTGTTTTTGGGTAAACTCTGATTGAAATTTCCCACTGCAGCTTCCCCTTTCGCTCCTAAAGACTGCTCAAGGGCATCCAATGGTAAGAGGCTCCTTCATTTCTTTTTTTCCATAAGTGTACCAGTAAAATTATGCGCGAGAATCACATTTGATTGTAGAGAAACTCATTGGATTTAAAATCCCAGATAGGTGGCCGTGATGTGATTTGAATTTGTTCTCCCAAGGTCCACTTACTTTTTTGTTTTTCCACATGAGTTGATGCCATTGTGCCAATTCTGGTGGTTCTTTGGGCTCATTTTGATTGAGATATTTGGGCTGCTATGTCAAGAACTTCTATAGTAAGAATTTGTTTTTAAAACTTATTTTAAGAATGTTTGGTTTCTGTTTTGCAACAGTTAGTGGAACTGAAAAACGGGGAGACTTACAATGGCCACTTGGTTAATTGTGATACATGGATGAACATTCATCTCCGGGAAGTCATCTGCACTTCTAAAGTAATGCATTCATTTTTTTAATTTTATGGATGAACTTTTCTCTTTTGCATTTACTTTTATTTATTTTTTTCTGGAGACTGAATTGATAATAAATAAATTTTCCAATTATCAAATGTAGGATGGTGACCGGTTTTGGCGAATGCCTGAATGTTATATCCGCGGTAATACAATCAAGTATTTGAGAGTTCCTGATGAGGTATTCATGGAAGTTGTTGCAATTATTGAAAGTCTTATTGTGACTTTTGATGCATTGGAGAATCAGTTACATTACATGCTTGTAGAAAGAAAACGCATGCCTTTAAATTTAGTTCTTCTTCAACTTCTATAACACGTTTACCACTTTGCCACATCTTATTTTGATTTCTAGTTACTATCATTTTTTTCTCTTCTTTTACTTATCCTTTTTACACCTCTGTAATCATCTTTTAACATATTAATATTATGTTATCATTCCTTATCCACCGGAAAAGAACTTGTTAGCATTGTTCTTTGTTTTTCTATTGATTGAAGTTATTGTTTGCTTCTTTTATTTGACCTATCCAATGTGGTAAATGCATACTAAATTTTTGTGTGAACCGTTGCAATACTGTTAGCTCCTCTCAGTACTCACACACGAAGCATTCTGTTTCACTATTATGTATTCTTTTTCCAGGTTATTGATAAAGTTCAGGAAGAAACCAAAAGCCGTGCAGGTATGCTGTTTACGAAATTTAGAAGACAGTGATTAATGTCATTTTTTGCCCTTGGTTTTGATAAGTTAGAGCTTTAGTGTCAAGGAAACTGATGGTTGGAGATTGAATGTTCAGATAGGAAACCACTGGGCATAGGGCGTGGTAGAGGAAGAGGCCGTGAAGATGGTCCTGGTGGAAGACCAGCCAAAGGAATGGGGCGAGGCTTTGATGATGGTTCTAAAGCTTCATCTGGAGGCCGTGGAAAGGGTGGCCCAGGTGGAAAACCCGGTGCCAACAGAGGTAAATTGAATTCAATCTATTATGGTTGATGAATAAATTTACTTGATTTTTATTATTAGGTATGACCTAGGCAGTGAAAGTCTATTATATTCGGTCCATATTGTTTTTTGTCTTTTGATTTTGAAAATTAAAATTAGATATACCCATGCCTTGTTTAATTTTTCATCTTTTAGAGACTTTGAGCCAAATTTCAAAAAACAAAATATAGGAGTTTTGAAAACTATAATTTAAAAAAAAATATCCGTGAGTGTCTAGGCCCAACCTTTTTTTTCTTTTTTCTTTTTTGGATAAGAAGCCGAAAGTTCTCTTATTTTTTCAATAGCCTTGATAACCACTAGGCCAATCCATGGCGGTTAATTTTTTATCTGGATTTCAAAATTGATTTTGAAAGAAAACAAAGAAAAATGTTTGCATTACTTTTAAAAAGAAGAAAACCAGAAACAAAAACGTTGTCATTAGATGAGGTGGAGAATTAAAAGGACTACCACTTCCTCCTTTGCTGATAAATATTTGCACAAAGAAGAATGCCATGTTAACCTGTGGTCTTTTTTTGATATATAGTTGGAGGGAGAGGCCGAGGATGAATGATCGAAGCAATGCATGAGATGGAGGAGTTCGATAAATATTAGAGGCAATTCTTCGCCTAACTAACTACTACGTATGCAATGCAAAGCCAATCCCAAGCGCTGCCAGGTTTTCTCGTCAGTGGCCTATGTAGTTTCCTTTTCCATTTCCATGCATCACTTTTCTTTTGGTTTGAAACTTTGGATTCTGAAGTGAATATTTATGCGATTTTTAGGCATTCCTCTGCCTTAGTTGTAGTTGTACACGAGATAGACTATCTAGTTTGTTGGTGTAAGTGAATGCAAATTGGTTCATAGCTTTGGGAAATTGGTATTATAGTCTTTAATTGTAGGTTGATGAACATGCCTAAAATATATTATGGCATACTAAAAGGAGCTGAAAACAACATTGAATATTGAATTTGAAATGAAAGATTAAGGGGCAGCAAAAGAAAATCTTAGGAATGGAGACTAAACGAGAAAAAATGAACTAACAATTCCAACATAACACGTTAAATAACAAACGCATGCAAAGTTCATCGGTAGCACATTTCAAAGTTGTCCATTGACCAATGTAAAAAAATGGACCAAAACCAAATGGAAATGGGAAATGTCCCGGTAAAACAAGTCATTGTTTGTCTCATTAGCAACATTTAAGAATGATGTGGAGCTCATGATAATCACTACTCCTTGTCCCTATTTGAGCTTTGTAGTAGCATAATTCTCAAAGTTTAATTCAATTATTTAAGAATCAGGATTGCCAGGAAAGGAGAAACAATGTTAATGGATAAATTTGGCAACAAGAAAGAAAGGAAATGGTTGATTTGATTGTAAGTTAAAAAGCAATTAATGTAAGAAGCACATTGGTAACCAAGTTTGAAGTTTCTTAAACAAAATCCAATTCCATTCTTATGCTCAACGCATTGTTGTTTGCAAGACGACAAGTCGCACGCTTTTGGGTCCATCACTCTCATGCATCTTCCTCCATTTCCCTCTATTCAAATATAGCATTCTTTTAATAAATATACTTCTAAATATCACACTTTCAAAAAATTTAAAGATTTTAAATACTATTTTTGGTTCATGTACGTTTACTTAATTTTTGTTCCTGTGCTATTAAATTGTCCGTTTTAGTCCTGTACTTTAAAATTTTGTTCATTTTAGTCATTGTGTTTTCAAAACGTCTATTTTGGTCTTTATATTTTTAGAAAGTGATCCCTTTTTGTCCCTATTTATAAAATTTTAACAAAAATTTTATACACAATATAAAGCCTTTAAGACAAACTTATGACTACATTTTAAAAAATTTAGTGAGTAACGTGATGAAATTGTAGTTAAAAGAAATGAGATATTAAATACATAGCACGTCTTGAGTTTTGTATTTACACGACGGTGAATTGATGTGTGAATTGGATGATATGGTTTAATACCAAGTAGAAATTAATAAAGATATTGGTGGATGTGAAGTGAACTCAATTGAAACTAAGCCTAATTCCCACCCAAAAACTATTTAGGAGTATGGATAAAAATTTTGAATTTGAAAATTGATTTAGATTCATGCCTGAGTTATAAATAAAAAATTTAATATCAAGAAGTAAAAGGAGCTCTTTTTTTATTTTTTCAAAAATTGAAATTATAGATGGGTTGAAAATTTATATAACTAAAATATATAAAAAAAGTCCTAAAATGATAGTTTGGGTGGCTTGGGTCTCAAGAAATTTCCTTGAGCTCTTGAGTTCAAGTCACATGAGATGCAACGTCTACCAAACAACGATTTGTATGTACAGATATGAGGACAATGTGCATGTCCCTATGGCATCTCGAACATAGTTCAATGGTTAAAGTACTTATATTCGATCAGAAGGTCATGAGTTGAGTTCGAATTTTTCCACCTTACATAGTGTAGATGTAAAAAACAATATCAATATTCATGATACTCCCAATCAAACTTACCTATTCGTTTTGGTTTGGTTTGTTTCTACCCATTTTTAATTTGAACAAATGGTTTAAATCCTACTATGATCCTTAGGGTTTTATATTTGTTCTGTTTTGATTAGTATATTTTCAGATGTATTTTATGTTTTTGTTCACAATCTTTAGGTAAGAAATTGTTTTAGTTAATTGTCCTCGATTTTCCATTTTGTAGGAACTTAGCGTGATATGTCTTTTCTTCATTTATCTTATAGGTGGATATCATTTGGACACATTATTTTAATTTTGAGTTACAAGATATCTTTAAAATTATTGACGTCAAATTAATGGTAAGGACTAGAATATATAAAGCAAAATTTTCTGTCTACAATATGAATTTGTCTTTCATAAATCATTTTTAATATTTTAGGACTCGATATCACTCTTAAATAAAGTTGATGTGTTGACAATTAATGAAGATAATATCTATAAATGACAGCTTGATAGAAATTTTCAAAGAAAAGCAAAATTTTACGTTCTAACTTTTTAATATATAATCTTTCAATTTAAAAAAAAATTTGAGTGGCGAAATTAAGAAGCAACTAAAACATTTGATCTATATCTTTAAAGTTAGATTTAATTTAAAATTTAAAATTTAAAATAGTTAAATGGATTTCTTTTTAATTGCTTTGTTTTAAGGTTTAGTTAGATTTTTTTAATGGTTTGTTAAAAAAAAAAATCTTCAACTACCAGGTTGGTATAAGGCGTTCTAAAAAAATGCGTTACAAGAAGAGATGACCTGCAATAGGTGACCCACGATTTGTCTGACATATGGAGACGACCTAGTGGTGGAGGATTTTTTGAAGTATTACTTTTGGCATAAGTTTGAAATTTATAATATTTTTTGTTGGATAATATATGCTGTATATAGCCAGTGAGAGAGTGAGACCTCTTGTTCAAGTCACGGAGTCAGTACTTAAGAGAACATCTATCTACCCTAAAGTCGAGAAAGAGTGAATTCCATCTTGTGTAGTTATCTTTCCAGCCCCCCACTCAGTCTTGTCCTCAAAATGGTAGGAATATTGAGTCGGCGACTCGGGCCAGTCTCACCTATAAAAATCAAAGGATGAGCCCTAACAGGCAGAAATCCATAACTCACTCAGAATTGAGATCGAGTTACATGGTCATAGCTAAAGATTAACTATTTTGCAGTCTCATACAAAGTCATTGTATGTAAGGGTGGCATCTAGTTCAATTTTAGCACATCATTTTCTTCTTCACTTCTCCTCTTCTTTCAGAAAAAATGTCTGAAGATGTTGGCAGTCCTTCGACCAATTTCATGGACATCAAACAAATTACCATCTTCGTCGCCTTCTCCTTCACCACCGCGACAGCGAACTAGACGATAGGAAGATATTCATGATCTTTCTGCATACCCTTCCACATTTTAGGGACCTTCTTATGATTATATGCGTTCTTTGGCCCCTTCTCCAAACGTCGTGACATGCGTCACATGACACGGAAAAAATCTCAACCATTGAGAGGATGATGTACGAGTTTGAGTGTAATCGACTAAAGGAGGAAAAAAGAGTTTTGGAAGAAGAGAAGCGCATCCTAGAGGAGAAGGTCGCTGCATACAGTTACGCTTTTGCCATGGTCGTGGCTGTGGCTTTGGCATGCTTCGACATTTCATCTTCTGCTCTTTGCCCGTTACTTTTCGTTGTTTTTTTTGTAGTTTCTGTAACCTGGACGGGCTTTTAATGAAAATGGACCCTTTCATTTTTTGTCAATCACTTGTCTCTTGTCATTTTCTTTCATCATAATCATTATTATTTCTTTTACTTTGTAAGGTCGAACAAATGAAAATTCATATAGGAAATTGGAAAGTCAAACAAAAACGAGTCGAACAAATGTAAAATGAACAAGTACATAATCATAATATAGATAGCCCCTAATTTGAGCATTCTTTCATTGAATAATGTTCAAATTACAAAGTTACTCATAATAGATTTTCAAATGTTTTGCGTTCCATGAATGTGTGAGTTGTTTTCCATTCAAATCAATTAACTGATATGTTCCTGCTCGAACAACTTCTTTAATCTTGTACGGATCTTTCCAGTCCGGTTCTAAAGCCTCTATCTTTTGTAAAACTTTCTTCATAACCAACTTCCCACTTTAAAACTAATGAAGCTTTACCCTTGAATTATAATATCGCTTCATCCGATTTTGATATTCTACATTTCGTAATTGAGAAGCGTTTCGTTGTTCTTCAAGTAGGTCCAAATTCATACATAAAACATTTGAATTTTGTTGCTCGTCGAGCAACCTTTCAGTCCATTCAGTAGGTAATCCGATCTTAACAGGGACCACATCTTCTGAACCAAAAGTCAGAGCATACAGAGTTTGATTTGTGGAGCCCCTAGGGACCAGAGGATAGTTGGTAATTCTTCCCCCAACGAGCTTTCAATTCCTCACGTCTTAACTTGAGCCCCAATTTCAGGATTTTATTGACTGCTTCAACTTGTCTGGTTGCCTGGGATGAGTAGGTGATGAACTCAAATGCTTAATTCCAAGGTATGAGCAAAAATCTTTGTATTTAGTATTATCGAATTGTTTGCCATTGTCAGTGATAATTGCATATGGAACTCCAAAGTGACACATTATATTCCGCCATACAAAATTCGTAATCTTCGCCTTTGCTACTATCTTTGGCCTGAAATTCTTTCGTGATTTGATTAACAATTAGTTGTGAATCACTTAAAATTAACAATTAAGTGACTTCCATGCTTTGAGCCATTCACAAGCCTGCCAAAAAAGCTTCATACTCTACCTCATTGTTTGAAGTTCGAGCATACTCAAAGCGATTTCCTTCCAGAGACTGTAACAATATTCCAGCCCCACATCCTTTTTCGTTTGAAGATCCATCAATGCATAAGGTACATTGCTGCTTTGAATCTCCCGCATTTAGCCAAGGTGTCAGTTTGACCACAAAATCTGTGACCGTTTGCATTTTTAACGAGACACACGATTCAAAACAGATGTTGTATTCGCTCAATTCTATTGCCCATTTCATTAATCTCTCATATGTTTTTGGCTTTTGAAACACCTCTTTGAGGGGGAAGTTCATCAGGATGATGATTTTATGGGCTTGGAATTACGATTGTAATCTCCGAGCAGACGTGACTAAAGCCAAGGCAAGCTATTTTATGTTCGGATATTGTGTCTCCGCATCTGTCATTGATCTACTAGTATAGTATACTAGGCTTTGATGACCATCACTGTTTTTGATTAAAACTGAATTGACTGCAGTGTCGGAAACTACCAAATAAAGAAGTAGATCATCACCGTCCTCTAGTTTTGATAATAGAGGAGTAGTTCCAAGGTATTTTTTCATTTGAAGAAACGCTCTTTCACATTCTTCTATCCATTCGAATTTAACGGTAAACATTTATCAGTAAATCGGGAAACAAAACGGTTTAAAGCTGCAACTATTCCATTAAGTCATTGAAGTTACTTTAGATTCTTCGGTGATTTCATTTCTAGGATTGCCTTGATTTTATCTGGATTCGCCTCAATCCCTCTTTGATTAACCATGAATTCTAGGAACTTTCCTGATGAGATCCCATTTAGTGGGATTGAGCTTCATTTTATAATGAGCAGAACTTTGAAAGCTTATGTGAGGTCTACAATTTGTTATTATGAAGTTTTCCTTTTAACAAGCATAACGTCAACATAATAATTCCATATTCTGACCTATTTACTTATTGAACATCATGTTGACTAACCGATGTTACGTTGCTCCAACATTTTTTAATCCAAAGGACATTACTTTATAACAGTAGAACCCTTGGTCAATTACAAAAGTTGTATGCTCCTAATCAGGCACATGCATCTTAATTTGATTGTAACCCGAATAAGCATTCATAAAGGTTAATAGTTCGTGCCCCACTATTGCATCTACTAATTGATCAATTCTTGGTAGTGGAAAGTTATCTTTTGGGCATGCGTTATTTAGATTTGTAATGTCAATGCACATACGCCAATTTCCATTACCTTTTTTGACCATTACTGCGTCAGAGAGCCACGCAGGGAATAAATTTCCTTGAAAAATTCAGCTTTCAAGAGTTTATTAACCTCTTCAGAAATTACAAGACTACGTGCAGCGTCCACAAGTTGGTGCTTTTTCTTGACCAGCTTATAGTCGAGATCTATATTTAACCTATGGACTATTACATTTGGGTCAATGCTCAGAATGTCCTCATGGAACTACGTGAATACATGAGAATTTGCACGTAAAAAAGTTATTAAATCAGCTTTAAGGAAGTTTGCAGTCTTCTTCTGACGCTCACCTATCTCTTTGCAATATCAAGAGAAATTTGTTCAAGCCATTCCATAGGAGTGCCCCATCTTTCATCTTCCTCCTCTAACTCAATAGGTGTCGTTTGAAGAGTTGATTAAGCTTGTTCGGCCGCAGTCGATGTCCTAGCAATTACACAAGTTTTGGCACCATTCAAAGCAGTTGCATAACACTTTCTTAATGCTTTCTACTCTTCTTACTACCCCAACTCCATTCTTTATCGGATATTTCATTCTTGAGTGCAATGTAGAAAGAACAGCTTGTAAGTCGTGGATGTATGGTCTGCCCAGAATTGCGTTGTAAGCTGAAGCCCCGTCAACTACAACGAATTCTACAATCTTTCGAACTTCATTGCCGCCTTCTCCGATTAGAACAGAAAGTTCGGTACATCCTTGGATTGCCACATATTCTCTAAAAAATTCCAACTAACGGTGTCAGGCATTTATTCAACTGGCTTCTGTCTCAACCTAGAACCAAATAGGTTTAGAGAGAGATATTCGTTGATGCTCCCCCGTCAATCAACACCCTTTTCACTCAGACGTAGTCGATAATTGGGGAAATGATCAGAGCCTCATTATGTGTCAGGTGGGACTCCTTCCAAAGTCTTCTCTAATAAAAGTTACTGCTATTGTGGGTCAGGTGTATGAGGTATTGACCTCATGTTGAACTTCACGGATCAGAGCTTTACGATTGTTTCTCGACTGTCCTCTACTTGGTCAGCCAAAGATTGTAATTATGACGTTGTGCCTTTCATCGCTTTGGTCACATTTCTTGAGGGATGGTGACCGATCTCTATCATCTCAATCTGGTCGGTCATATTTTCTTCTACATTGTGTGGAACATGAATTCTCTCTGCCCCACATATTTCTTTAGACGACCCTGTTGGATCAATGTCTCAATAAGGTCATAACACTGCGAAATATCATGGTCATGATCTCTGTGAAATCGACAATACTTGTTCCAGTTTTGTTTGTTCGGACTTAGTTTTCTCAAGCCTTATGAGCATAGTATGCAAATCACTACTCTAGATACTTAACAAGATCTCCACTAACGGTACATTCACTAGCGTGTACCGATCATAACAACGTGGCCGTTAATAATTCTCCTTTCTGTTTTGATGTTGTCAACATTGATTATCGTAGTGCGACTTTCTATCTCTATGATCTTTACTCGGTTGATCCCTACTCGGTTGCGAACTCTACCAATCCCAACTATCTGAGTACTAGATAGAAGTAGTTGCTTCACTTTGAGAACATCTTCTACATGCATATACTTCTTTACCTGCTGAATTGCTTCGTTTTAGGTTTGTGCTGATTGCAATCCGGAGGACCTCGTTAAGTCGGGATTAGTCATGACAGTGATAAATGTCATTCTGGCCACATCGTCCGAACAATCCATCCCTTTTATTTTTTTTTTTGCCATGAATCTACTGACAAAATCTCGAAAGTTTCTCCTTCCTCTTGCCGGATAGTCACCAGATGTTTGTCTGGCCTCTTTCGTCCGTGTTGGGCTGAGAATTAACTGATGAAGGCTTTTCTCAACTACCTCCATGATGAGATAGAGTTTGACCACAATTGTCGATACCGTGATCTCAACTGTCGTTTCAAAGTTACTGGGAATGCTCGAAACTTAATCTCGTCACTTGCAGGGTTGAGCTCCATCAGTCCTTCGTAGAGCTTGACGTGATCTATCAAATCTGCCATTCCATCATACGATTTTATATCCGATTTCCTTACTTTTGGTAGCATTTCATATGCCATATTTGGTGCGGTAAATGATTGGTATCCCCTTTCTCCTGTCTCAACCCAAGTAGTATCGCCCAAATTACAATTCTGTATCAGAGTATCAAAGTCATTCTGCAACTTGTTTATGACTTCTTTCACGATGTCCTGGACAATCAGAATTTCAACCGTCATCTAAGTCTGTGTAGGTGTTTGCCCTACTATTGGGCAGTTTGACTCACTCCCACTATGCATGGATTAGATGYAGCTCGTTTGATGTAGAGGAGTTTGCTGCTCAGTCTGTTGGTCTTTAGGTTGACCATTCAAGGTCTACTGCAAACCCTCCATGTTTGAGTTCAAATAGTCGCGTAGATCCCCGTTAAGATCGATAGTGGTTCTATACGCTCTACCTTAGAGGCACTTACTAGTTGGACCCAGGTTTAGTAGTTCACTTGCAGTCGTAATTGTTCCTCAGCAAGGATTATCCTGTTCGTCAGTCACCAACACTTTTCCCCTAGTAGGGTCTCGGCAAATAGGTGAATTTGTACTTACGTCTTCCTCAATCATCCTCTGTTGCATCATGCCGAGGGCTCTGGTATATCTCTAGTAGGCTCGGTAAGGACTTGAGTTCGATGCAATGCCATGGTTAGTTCTGATATCTTCACGCACAAGTGCCCAACTCTACCTGTACTTCGTTCAGTTCCGCCCACAATCTAGTTAATTCTAGATCCATCCTCCTCGCAAAATTTGATGAGTTCGGACAAGGCGGATTCCTTCGACCCACTCCCACCCTCAAATGGCGGTACGACTTGAGGAACATTTACCATCAACGCTAGATTACTGGGAAATGTTATCCGCCATAGCTTGAAAGGGAGAGTGATCAAATCAAGTAACAATCGTTAATACGAATAAGAGAGCTAGCATTGCCACAGATGACGTCAATTATTTTAACCGAAAAAAATTCGATTAAACCAATACGATCTTCAAGAACACTCGAAAATAAGATCTTGCAAGAAAGGAATTAGCACTCCGAAGATTTTGTCAGTACAAGATTTTAATCTGTTCAAATTTTTCAATAGAAAATGTTTACGCACCTCCCCCTTTTAATTTAAAGGTATTTATAGAGAGTCTAGATACCTGTTGGTGTAAAGAATTTAAATTCACGGTTATTCCCAAGATTTTAGGCGTGAAATGCGCATTAAGGGTGAATACGCACGGTTATCCATTCAAACGTTGGAATCAAGTTCAAAAATTCTTGTGCGTAATATAAACAATTGAGTGGTTGAACTGTCGATGACGTGTCCTTTTCACTAAATTTTTGCCTTTATCAGTTATTAGTGAAGGTCTTAAAATGTTGAAAGGCCAGTTTTCAACCAACTACATATAACAGACATTTTATGTAATTTAGCCAAAAAAAAAAAAGAAGAAGAAAAAACTTCAAATTTGTTACCTTCTTGTAATTCAAAGTTAGATTTTTGTCTAATCCAGTTCTATTTTTTTCCTTCTGAATCCCATCTCTGACGAACCACGAATTTCCCATTATTCCTGCATAATCTCACGAGAACATGAAACGAACATATAAAGTAGAATTCTCCATGGAGAGCATAGAAAAGAAAGAAATGGAAAAACCACATAGACAATAATAGAACTATGTTTTTAAATGAGAATGCAAATCTTGGCAGCCATTGTTTGATCACAGGGCTGGGAGCTGCAGTCAGTCACAGAGGCGATTTATAGCTCCACGGTATCGATATCAATGTATGAGCATTCAATGGGAATGGAGCTTCAGAAACATTTTGCTATAATTCTTATTAAAAAGCAAATTGTTTCGAAGGATGAGAACTTTCATTCCAAACTATCTAAATTAGTTAGCGAACTCGATACCCGTCGAGGTCAAGGGAGATCCAGCATGAAGTTGAAGGGCAACATCTCCAATAACCTGCATAGAAAGCATATTGTACATAAGATTAAATTTTTTAAAAGATTAGAGACAAATTAAAAATGAGACATACTGGATTAGATTATACATTTCGCCCATATTCTATTTATGTTAGAAGTCTTCGATAAGGATGTCGTGGAAAGGTTTAAATAATGTATCACAATAAACAGACCATCGTAGAACGATACCGATGGAATACCTTGGCCATTGCCCGATAAGAGTGTTCGGTAACTCCAGCAACATGGGGAGTGATGATGACATTATTGAACTTCAAAATGGGGTCATTGGGGTCAAATGGCTCAGTCCAAGCAACATCAATGCCCAAGCCTCCCAAGTGACCAGACTCAAGGGAATGTAAAGTGGATTGATAGTCTAGGAGACCACCTCTAGCAATATTTACCAAAAGTGAACCCTGTAATTACACACTTAATTAAACCACATAGTGCATAAGGGAAAAAGAAGTATGAAGCAAAATTCCAATGATAGTTTTTAATACTTCATTCAATTTACTACTGGAACCACAAACCTTTCTCATTGAAGATAAGAACGACTCGTTCACAGTACCGGCCTGAAATTAAAATTACCAAAAGTGTTAGTTGGTGATGAGTCTGAAAGGTAATGGACTGAACTAACATTGTAACTAACATTGTAACCTACTTGACTTCCCATACAGTAAACAAATACTACTTCACACATTAAAATAATCTACCACTAATCAACATTGAAGTCTATTTCTTCCAAGTGGCATGTCTGGATGCCAGGCTTACGTATCCAAATATATTAACAAATTAATTTAATAACACAGCTTTCTATTAACAAATTTTAACATATTTTTTCTATGGAATGACTTAATTGAGAATTTTTAATACATTAAAGGTAAAAGTGAAAATTTTTAAATATTAAAAACCAAATTGAGAAAAATAACGACCCTTTGATATATCGAACCTGGACTTTTAAGTCCAGTGGCATTGCCAACAGAAATATATTAGAAGGCCAAAGATGCAAATATCATTTGATAAAAGTCATCTAGCGAAAAGGGAGGTGTGATCTAAGTTATTTTATATAGAATTGAAGCATATATTAATATTCAATCAACAGAGATGGGCACCAGAAACTAATTTAGAAGATTTACAATCTACTTTTAGTAATGTAACGTAATTTCCATAATAATAATTTCTACAAAGGCATGAAGTAACCAAAGAAGCAGTCTTACTGTTTCGCTATTAAGACTCAAGCAACAAACAACAATGTCCGCGATGCTCGCAAACTTGTTAATGTCCTTGTGAACACCTTTTTCGTCAACAAGATCGTCATTCGCACCTTTCAAAAACGAAAACGATGAAATTGTATTGACACTGATCAGTAAGAGATTAAACAATGAAAGTATCATCTTCTGGTTTGTTTTCATTACCATTCAACTGGCTAGATGCAGTCCAACTCCGCTTTGTGGCAATAATTCTTACCCCAAACGGGCACAAGCGCTTCGCCAATTCAAGACCAATGTTTCCGTAGCCCAAGATGAAAACCTACAAAAGGTATAAGGGTCCCATTTGATAATAATTTTGATTTTAAAAAATTATTCTTGCTTGTTCACAATTTCTATGGTATGTCTTTCACGTTGCTAAATTGAATTCTTAGCCAAAACTTAAAAAACAAGGACAAGTTTTCACAAACTACTTTTTCTAGCTTTTGGAAATGTAAAAAGGTAAATAACAAAATAGGACACATAGGTGTGTTTCAAAGCATAATTTTCAAAAATAAAAAATAAAAAACAAAATAGTTATCAAACTGTTTTAGTTAGTTCGTTATTTAATTAGTTCAGTTTGTTGTTTGAGTAGTCATTGTAACTAATTCTCGATATCCTAAACCTAGCCTATATTATAAAGGATTGGGTTTCCTGATGGTAACAATGTAAAGGCCCTACCAGTGGTCATTCTAGATTATTCAGAAATTTTCTGAAACTCAGCTTCTCTAAAATGTACAAAGACAAGGGTGAGAGAGAGTTACTGTTTTTCCATGGAGTGTAACCCCAGTTGGCTCTCCAAGTCTTCTTTGGTCAACCATAATCTGCATCTCTTTCTGAAAAAATACATAATATAAAGAAATAAAATGGAATAAATGAGAAATTCTTTTTTCTTTTTAAGAAAAGAAACGTGCAGTGGAAAACAATAATAGCTAACATCAAATTGTGAAATTACCACTGGACCCAAAACTTAAGCTACTAGGTTACAGTAAATTTGAATCTTTTATTCACACTATTAACCCTACCCCTCATGGGCTTACAAATTAGCACATGGTAACCAGTGATAATCAATATTAATTTAGGAGAAAATGACAGTACAAAGCTTCGAACACAGCAGCTCTAATATCATATTAAATCACCACTAGATTCAAAAGCTTAAGCCAACGGGTTACGGAAAATTTAATCTTCTATTCATTTTCTTAACAAATAGAAAGAAAAAACCCAATTCAGAGTATACTCAGCCAATTTCATCCTCCAAACTTTCCTCCATTGACCTAATTTATCCTCTAAAATTTTGCCAACTCACTAACCAACCATTACGTAATGCAAACATATCCTCAACCGATTTGAACATCCATAAATTATAATTGAAAGAATGTTAAAATGTAAGGGACTAAATTGAAACTTTTTAAACAATAGGGACTAAATTGAAAAAACATCCAAAGATTAAGGATTAAAACATATATTCAGTGATATAAATTTACCTGCTTGCGAAGAAGTCCTAAAGTTAGGTATATAGCCATTTCTGCACATGACATTGCATTTCCAGTTACTCCACTTGGTATCCTGGCAACTTTGATTCCAAACTTTGTGGCAGAATCAATGTCAACACCTTCAATTATGAAATTCAATAAATATATTTCAAATAAAAACCAGACAAAAAGGAAGAATTATACATCTAAAAAAATGGACATAGTAACAACCTTCAAGGCCGACACCGAACTGCACTATGAGCTTCATCTGGCTAGCTCGGGAGATGACATTAGAATCTAATTTCATCATTTTAGGAATACAAATGTGGTAGTTGCTTATAACTTTAGGTACATCCTCCAATGGAACGACATCAACCTACATTTTTCAAATAAATGAAGCTGTTTAACAAAAGATTTGGGCAGCATTCACAAATTTACAAATTGTAATAAATCTAGTGATTAAAACAAAAATTAATTATCTAAATGTTGGTGCAATTAGGTCTTTTCGATTCTAAAAAGTAAGAATGGTTTGAACTTGGAGGTAATTCGCGAGGGAGGAGAGGACTTTTCTTAAAAACAGTTTTTGTTTTTGAAATTTGGTTAAGAATTCAAACGTGTTTTTAAGAAAAGTGAAAAACATACCAAAGAAAATGTCAGCAAACGAGCATAATTGAAAAAAAAAAAAAAAAACAAAATGATCATCAAATAGAGCCTAAATTGGTTTCTTTACCCCCAAAAAAGAAAGCCCTACATTTCAAACTCAACCTCATATTGCATGATAAACCAATAATATGGTTTACAAACTAGGTGAACTTACTAAAGATATTGTTAGTAAACAAGCATACTTTTCAAAAACACACAATAGAAAATGAAATTATAATCAAATAGAGCTCGTTTCTTACCCTAAACAAGAAAGCCCTATTCAAACTCTGCCTCATATTTTATGATAAGCCAATAATATGGTTTACAAACCAGTTGAAGTTACATACCGAAATGATAATCAACACAAAATGTATGACAAGTTGTCCACATTGTAGTCTATGCAAACTATCTCAAGTACTTCAAAAATAAAAATAAGAAATAAGAAAACACACACTGCACACAAACTAAAAATATTTGACTAACTATGGAAACATATTTGAATAACTATATTCTAAAAGTTACCATTTCTTTAGTTTTTTCAAGCATTCTCAAAATGAGACGTTTTTCAAAATAAATAAAAAAATTTTATTCTTCCAAAATCACATATTTGTGGACAACGACAGAAATATGCATATAATAATGTTAACCTCAACTAGTGATCCAATCACAATTCTTAAAAACAAGTTAATATAAAACCAGAAAAAGCATTTGGAAAATAGCTTCTGAAACAAGCCAAAATCTTCTTGCAAAAAGAACAAAAAAGAGGTTCATGAAAAAAACAAATATGAAACAGAGTACCAAACACTATGATTATCCAATCCTATAAAGATGGTTACAAATAATTTACCCAAAACAGAGTTCCAATTCTAAAATATAGCTGCACAATAACCTGTGTAGAAAAGATATTGGCTTGGCACCTCATATTCTATTAAAAGAGAATGAAAGAATATTAAATGGAAATTCTCCATTGTACCTGAATGAAGGGATAAGGTTGCAAATATTCTTTGGTATAATTATGAGAACCAGAAAATTGAAACCCACAAAAGAGAACACGGGTTATACTTGTGCTGCTATCCTTGTGAGTTTTTTCCATCTTCGTCACTAGAATAAATACATCACTGTTAAGCTAAGTGTTAATGGAGAAAGAAAACAATTATCAGTAGAAGGTCACTTCAAAAGAAATGGAAAGGACAATGCCAGACTTTATGACAATTGAGCTTCATGATCAGCAAGAACAGACGAGACATGAACATATTAAAGTTACTAGACTTTTATCCTTGGATTTGTTAGTAATCTCCACAACAAAAATAGTTTTTGAGATAACTCCCTTTGTATGATCCAAACTGGTTGAAGAGTCTGTGTTAGGAAATAAAGATACTCAACTAAAATTATCTTAATCACAAACGCAGACAATATTTGTTAGCTAATCCGAGATCATGTTCTGGTTCCAATTAATACATCATTCAAATTTCAAATTGAAACTTACACCTTAAAAGAATACATAAACCAACTTAAAACTTCTAAGCAACAAAAACGATAAATAAAAATTAGAGAGAATAAATTAACGCTGAATTTATACTGGTTCACCCAATGTGAGCTACATCCAGTTCTCTACTATCGTTGTAGGTTCCACTAAAATGTCAAGGAGAATCTCCCAAGAGTTTACAAGCTCTTTACAATGATTTCTCTCCGTTTCTCTCACACAAAAAATGCTTACCAATCGTTCTACAAGTATTTCAAACTCTCTAAGTGATACACAAGTAGTAAGCTTTCAAACTCTCTCTTTTTGAAGAATTTTTCACGACTCTCTATGTATTTTCATCTCTCAAAGATTCACTTATGTCTATTTATAATATATGACAAAGCTAAAAATTAAAGAGGAAAAGTAAAAAGGCCCAAACTAAAACTAAAACTAAAGAAGACAAGGAAAATAAAAAGATCCGCGGTATTCTATTTACAAACCGAAAAAATCAATTTCCTTCAAGGTTTGACTCCATTTCCTTAACAATCTCCCACTTGAAGAAAAAACAAGAAACATGTATCCTTTGCAACAGTAACAGCTTCTCCCTATTGGTGAAGAAGTCCAATTGAAGTTGCACACAACTTCAGTTTATCACTAGGAACAACCTTGGTAAATATACCGGCTGGATTCTGACAATCTGGAACCTTTTGAAGCACAAGCACTCCATCTTCCAAAATTGATCTAATAAAATGGTATATCACCTGTATGTATTTCGTTCTCGAATGAAACACTTGATTCTTTGCCAAATGAATAGCGCTCTGATTGTCACAATGCAAAAGCCCTTTTCCCAATTTCAAGCCAAGTTCTTTCTAAAGATTGAAGCCATATAATCTCTTTGCTTGCTTCAGTAACTGCAACATACTCAGCTTCGTAGAAAGTGCCACTATCTTCTGCAGTTTAGAAGCCCAACTAATTGCAGTATTACCTAAAGTAAAAACATACCCCGTAGTCTCCTTCTGCCATCTGTATCACCTGCCATATTTGCATCTACATATCCCTGCAGTTTAAAATCTGATCCTTTAAAGTGCAGAGCATAATCAATTGTCTTTTTCAAGTATCTGAAGATCCACTTTGCAGCCTCCCAGTGTTGCTTTCCTGGATTACTCAAATACCTGCTGACAACTCTCACTACATGTGCAATGTCAGGTCTTGTGCAAACCATGATATACATCAGGCTGCCTATAACTGAAGCATATGGCACTCTGGTTATATGATTTCTTTCCTGCTCGGCAGTAGGTGAGTACTCTTTAGATAATTTAAAATGATTAGCTAAAGGAGTACTTACAGATTTTGTATTCCCGATGTTAGATTTGTTTAACACTTTATTGACATACTCTTTTTGCGACAATGTCAAAATACCATCTTTCCTCTCGATCCTCATCCCTAGAATTTGTTTAGCAGCTCCAAAATCTTTCATGTCAAATTCTTTAGATAATTCAGCTTTTATCTTCAGAATGTCCTTTTTATTTGGTCCTGCTATCAACATATCGTCAACATATAGCAATAAAATGATAAATGAATTACATTGAGTTCTTATGTAGTAGCAATGATCTGCCTCACTCTGGAATCCATTGCTGCACATAAAACTGTCAAACTTCTTATACCACTGTCTAGGTGCCTGTTTGAGACCATACAAGCTTCTTTGAAGTTTGCATGCCATTTCCTGTACTACAAATCATTCTGGTTGTACCATGTAAATTTCTTCCTCCAAATCACCATGAAGAAATGTTGTTTTTATGTCCATTTGCTCTAAAACCAAATCGTTTTCTGCCACTATTGATAAAACAATTCTAATGGTAGTTGGTTTAACTACGGGTGAGAAAATTTCATTAAAATCAATACCTTCCTTTTGTTGAAACCCTTTAACTACAAGTCTTGCCTTGTATCTTTTGCTGCCATCGCACTCTTGTTTGATTCTATATACCCATTTATTCTGCAAAGCTTTCTTACCTCTTGGTAACTCAGTAAGTTGCCATGTCTGATTAGTCATTAGAGAATCTATTTCGTCTTTCATGGCTAACTCCCACTTGACAGAATCTTCCAAGTGAACCACCTCTTCGTAACATTCAGGTTCACCTCTGTAAGTCAGTAAAATATAATTCAAAGTAGGGTAATACCTCTGCGGTGATCTGATCCTTTTGCTAGATCTCCTAATTATTGTTGGTGGTATTCTCTAAACCTCATCAGTTTCTACAATTGATTCCTCAGATTCCACAACTATTTTCTCAAGAGTAATTATATTCCGATCTTCAATCCTTGTTGCCTTGATCTCAACCTCAGGAGAACTTGTGTACAGAGTTTTCTCTTCTGTACTTTCATCTGACTCCGTCTTTCCTTATTCAACTTTAGCTCTATCTTTGTACAAAACTCCTTCATTGAAGATCACATTCTTGCTTCTAATAATCTTCATGTTTTGGTCATCCCAAAATCTATAGTCTATCTCAGCTCCGCCATATCCAAGAAAGAAACACTTCTTGGATTTAGCATTTAGTTTACTCCTATCTACAACATCAATGTAAATGTAAGATACACAGCCAAAAACCTTTAGATGGGAAAGGTTAACCTGTTTACCGCCCCATACTTCTCCAGGCAATTTGAAGTCTAGTGATATGATTGGACTTCTATTGATTAGATAGGTTGCACAGTTGACTGCCTCTGCCCAGAACATCTTAGGCAATCCCGCATGTAATCTCATGCTCCTAGCACGCTCGTTCAGTGTCCTGTTCATTCTCTCAGCCACACCGTTCTGCTGTGGTGTTCCTGGAATAGTCTTTACCATCATATTTCATTGTCCGTACAATATTTCTTAAATTTCCCATCAACATATTCATCGTCGTTGTCCGACTTCAAACTCTTGATTTTCAGGCTTGTCTCATTTTCTATCATAGTCTTCCAAGTTTTAAAAACATAAAGTATATCTAACTTATGTTTGAAAAAATAAGTCCATACCTTCCTGCTTGAGTCGTCTATGAAAGTCACATAGTATCTAGAACTTCCAAGGGAATAAACTTCAGAAGGCCCCCGCACATTAATGTGAACCAGTTCCAATTTTAAAGACTTTAACGTTGCACCTGTCTTTGAGAAACTAACACGGCTCTGCTTCCCAAATACACAACTTTCACATAACTTGTGTTCAACTGCCTTAAGTTCATGTAACTTCCTTGCAGAGGGAAGAACTTTCGTACCTTTTTCACTCATATGTCCCAGTCTGTTGGGCCATAATTGGGTCTGGCTCAAAGAATCTACAACAGCCACCATATCTTTGTTATTGCTGTTGACATACATGTTCCTGACTTTCTTCCTCGAGCAATTACTATGTCACCCTTTGAAACTTTCCAGTGTCCTTGACCGAAAAATATTTCACATCCTTCATTATCCAATTGCCTTACAGAAATCAGATTAAACGTGACGTACCTTGTGAATCTTCCAAACAGAATCGTTCGCCATTTTCAAATTTACGTCACCGATTCCAATGATGTCCAAAGGCTCTCCATCAGCAAGATACACCTTTCCATGATTTCCTGCAACATAATTCTCAAGGATGTCATGTTGTCCAGTAGTATGAAATGATGCACCTGAATCCATCACCCATGTATCATGAGTGCTCTCAACTGCAAGAACTAGAGCATCATGTACTTGTTCATTGACAACATTTGCACCAACTTCTTTCTCCTCAACCTTCTTATTCTTCCAAAACAAACAATTTGATCCATTAAAAACAAGCAATTTATCTTCTCCAGTCATCGTTCTTCAAGCTTGGGCTCTGAGACCAGTTATTAGGGAATAAAGACAGTCAATTAAAATTATCTCAATCACAACAGAAAAAAATATTTGTTAGCTAATCCGCAGGTTCTTGTTCCAATTAATGCAGAATTCAAATTAAAATTGGAACTTCCAGCTTAAAAGAATAAATAAACCAACCTAAAACTTCTAAGCAACAAGAGGGATAAATAAAGATTAGGGAGAAAGAAAATTAACACCAGATTTATATTGGTTCAGCCGATGTAAGCTACGTTTAGTTCTTTACTACCGTTGCAAGTTCCACTAAAATGTCAGGGAGAATCTCCCAAGAGTTTAAAAGCCCTTTATAATAATTTCTCTTAGTTTTCCCTCACATAAAAAAACGCTCATGAATTACTGTACAAGTATTTCAAACTCTCTAAGGATATACAAGTATGGAGCTTCCAAACTCTCTTCTTGAATAATTTCTCATGACTCTATGTTTGTGTTAGTCAATTCATCTATCTTTATTTATAATAAATGACAACCAAAAAATTAAAGAGGAAAATGGAAATCAAAAGGCCCAAACCAAACTAAAGAGGACAAAGAAAATAAGAAAGCCCACGATATTCTATCTACGAACAGGAAAAATCAATTTCCTTCTTGGTTTGACTTCATTTCCTCAACAGCCTTCTTGTAACTCCTCAATTTTTGCTCTCCTTTCCTCATCAATCACATAAGCTTTGTTTGTATCAAAAGGAAAAAAAAAAAAAAGAAAAAAAGTAGAGTTCTATCTCCAAGGTTTGATAATTTTTTTTTTCTTTTAATATATGAAATCAAATAAAACTTGTATAAAAGAGCAAAGGAAAATACAAGGGAGACAAAATTCCCACAAGCCGAAGGTAATTATAAAAAAAAAAGGATGGGATTGATACTTACTTTTGGGAGGATAGGGGGCCTGGGGATCCCCAAAAGGCCTTTCACCTCTGTAAGCGTCCTTTCTTCACAATGCCCGGACATCCATCCAATGCATTCTTTTTGAATTTTGTGTTCTCTTTTCCCTCACCTTTCCTCCACAAGAGATTGTTCGCTAGCTTCAATCTTGCCTTTGTTAGGTAATGACTCTTCTCTGTTTCTTGGTTTTCTTCGTCCTTTGTCCTATAGAGAGACGATGGAGTCTATGGCCTTGTTAACCTTGCTTGGGGATTTTGTTGTTAATCCGAGGAGGAAGGATTCTCATCTTTGGTCCCCTAACCTTATAAAAGAGTTTTCCTGTAAGTACTTATTCTTGTGTATGGTGGATCCCCATCCCTCTCATCGCGCTGTTTTACTTATTCTTGTGTATGGTGGATCCCCATCCCTCTCATCGCGCTGTTTTTTCTTCGCTTTGGAAGGTTAAGATTCCAAAGAAGATTAGATTTTTTGCCTAGCGGGTCTTAAGTGGCAGGGTTAATACTTTGAATAGCATCATGAAGCACTCTTCTACTCTAAGCGGCCCCAGTGTTGTATTCTTTGTAGGAGAGCTTACAAGGACCTTGATCATCTCCTTCGGTCTTGCCAGTTTGCTTCATCAACTTATTCTTGTTTGCTTTCTCATGTCAGTGAGTGTAGTTTGATGTTGGAGGAAGTTCTTCACCACTCTCTGTTTCTTGACAGGGGTCGGTTATTGTGGCATGTGGGTTTCTTAGCAATTCTATGGGGTTTGTGGATTGGAGAGGAATAACAAGATTTTGAGAGGGTTTAAGAGATTTTCGGAGGATGTTTCAGCCATTGCTCAGTTTCATGTTTCTCTTTGGACTTCAATATCCAAAACCTTATGTAATTATTCTTTAGGTTTGATCTTGCTTGATTGGAGCCTTTTATTTTAGTTTGACTCCCTTTTGTTGGGTTTTGTTTTTATATGCCCTTTTCTATTATTTCACTCTTCTCGATTAAAGTTTGGTCTTTTCTCAAAAAAAAAAAGGTATAAAATAAGAAAGAGGATCTCAGTTGGCATACATCATCAAATTATCGTAGTTACAAAAGTCTTTGGACAACGTACACCAGCAGAAGAGAAAAATCCAAGTCCCAGAAGTCTTCAAAACTAGTGTAGGCTCCTTAGAGTGACCTTCGATTCTTCAAAGCCACAAAAGGATTGTTGTAATAGTATTGGACCAAATAATTCTTGCTTGCCCTTTTAAAAGATGACGGCAAAGAAGTTGAGTAAGAGCTAAGCCATTGTTATTAGGGAGGCACCAGTAAAGGTTGAATCTATTAAGAAGCCTCCTCCAGCACTTAGCTACAAGGAAATGAAGGAAGTCGAGGTGGGTCTAGTCTGAAAGTTTAGGCAAAAATAGCATGATCTTGGAGATAGAATGTAGTTCAAAAGCCTTTCTTGAAGTTTGTTGCACGTACTTAACTGGTCTTGGGAAAAAACTCAAAGGAAGAACTTATCTTTGGAAACCCCCTTTAAGGGGTTCGCTTTTTGGTGTCGCCTGAGATGATGCCATGAAACGTGTGAGTAGACTTCATGTGTAGTCCACGAATGGAATTGTACTAGATCATTCTTTTGTAATCTTAAGGGAAGTGAAACATCCCATGGATGCTGGGCAGAAACAAATAAGAAGCCCGTCATTTTTTTCTAGAGCTTTCATATAGTAAACTGCCCTGAGGGGTTAGGGAGGAAACTGACTCCATCCATCCAGTGAAGGTTGAAATCACCAATGAATCAGGAAATAGGGAGGTAGCAAGCTCCATCCATCCATGACCAATTTCTATTTCAACCTTGATAGTATTAATATGGTAAAGAATTTCTTTCACAATTCATGCATGCATAATATTTTGCTCAAATATAACCATGATAATTATCCAAAGCCTCGTCATAAAGCAAAACTTGTCAATCATCTCCAACATATTTATTCCAAAACATCATGAATGTGTTTAAATATCGATTGTAATTACTATTTAGAGCCCTAGTTTGAACCAAATATTAAATTCTTTTCTAATTGATATGGGATTTAATATTCAACACGTTCTTCATGAGCTAACCCACATTGAGTTGAGACCTGCAAAGATAACTTAACTTGGATGATTACAATTAGAAGCTCCTCGCAAGTTTTGATGATTAACGTGAACTTTATATTTGAGACATCGCAAAGCAAGTGTACCACAATACTTGGTGAGAGTCTTGAGCATTGAAGTATAAAGTTTGACCGAGCAAACTCACCAAGACCTGTTGAATTATGGACTTGAAATTTAATTTCATCCTTTCTTTCCTTTTACGAAACAGACAAAATATAACTTAACTTGGGTGACTTACAATTAGAAGCTCCTCGCAAGTTTTGATGATTAACGTGAACTTTATATTTGAGACATTGCAAAGCAAGTGTACCACAATACTTGGTGAGAGTCTTGAGCATTGAAGTATAAAGTTTGACAGAGCAAACTCACCAAGACCTGTTGAATTATGGACTTGAAATTTAATTTCATCCTTTCTTTCCTTTTACGAAACAGACAAAATATATGGCCAACGGAAACAAATCCAAAGAACTAAGCCAACAGAAACAACCATAAATATGATGTTGTTGTTGTGTGGGAAGATTTTGATGATGCTTTAGATCTTTAGTTCGTAGAAGCTATTGTGGGCTTTAAAAGTCATGGTTATGATAGGAATGTTATTTTATTAGAGTAGTTAGGAATGTTATTTAGGTATTAAGGGTATATAAGTAACTAGCTAAAAGTATTTGTTATTAGGGAATTGTTATAGATAGAGTGAGTGGGAAAGGATGACGGTAGACAATTGTTCTTTGTAGGGTTTTTAAGTTATCTCAAGAGAGGGAGGGTCCAAGTACCTCGAATACTTTGGAGTTTTATTGTACTGCTTTACTCTTTTATATTTCAATAATATTTTATTTGTTTGTGTTCTATCGGGATATTCATTTGAGTTTTGTTGTTGTTTGTGATATTTTGCATTTGTTTTCTTTTTCCAAGCTTTTGGTTCGTTTTTGCTTCAACTAATGTGGGTGCTTGGCTATAAGAAGTTTCTGGTGGTCCAATAGATCATTTTTAATCTTTGGAGCTGAAGATATCGTTGTTCTAGCTATTGTAGAGACTTTTAGATGGCCGAGTATTCATTCTTAATGTTTTGGTTTGATGGTAGTTTCATGCATTTAGCTGTTTGATGATCTTTTTCCTACGTAAGTTGCTGCTACTCACACTAATGTTTTGTTTCGTCAATGAAAAATTTTCTTTCCTTTTCCATGGAAAAAAAAAAAAAAAAACCAAAATGAGAGCAGCATGGATAAGTCCAGATCATACATGAATCTCCTGGGATGCAAAGCTATGGGAAAAGGACCCGAGTCATATTTGTACATAAAAATATTAAAAAGGCAAGAGAATAGATTACGGAAGGGATCACTGACAATCCACTAATTCTGCCAAAATGTTCATACATTCTTGCATTCTGCTAAGAATTTCACAACATCATCATCTTGGTTTAGAAGATATGTAGATAATCATAAACTTAACCTTCCCTCCAAAAATGCATTCCTACAATCTATTTTGGCTAGTCTATGTGGAAAAGAAATATTCCACCAAACAAGAATGCATTTGTACTATCTTATCCATAAAACATTTAGAATCTTCCATATAAACTTCTGTTAAATAATATACATTACTAAATCTTGAAAACAGTTTATTAAAAAAAAAAAAAACCATTATGAAAACTATCATATGTCTCATTTAAAGTATTGAAGCAAGTCATTCTTCAAAGACCCAAAAATGGGGTCGTGAATCACAGGCAACATACGAAAGATTCCTCTTTGAAAGCCCCATTAATTCAAGTTAATAGCAAGTCCAGCACCCCATGAATAAGAAGAGATAACTGGCAGCTCTTGGACAGGAAAAATCCATAAGAATATCAATCTTTTCTTTTCTTACTCTCACTTCCTAAAACTGGAACACATAAACTTGGAATTTAGAATAAGAAAACTAAGTTTGTAAGAAATTTTAAAACATATAAAATACCACTAGTGAAGGCACCCATTGTTGAACTAAACATAAAAAACATATCAAATATAGAGTGAGTTTGTCCGTTTTTAATAAAAAAAAAAATTAAATATCCAGAATTAGAACACTCTTTTAAAACAATCTCGAAAACGCAGAAAACACCATTGGGATGTTTTCGAAAATGAGCTATTCTCATCATAATACTTTAAGATTATTTTTAAAAACATAAACGAGAACAGCCATTCAACAATTCTCCACACAAAAATATACTTTATGGCATAAGGAAATCGAGACAGAAATTGGAGCTCATTAGGATTGGGAATTAAGAGGTAATTGCAGAAAATCGGTGCGTAGTACCTGAATTGAGACTGTTCCTCTTTTGCTATCGTGCCCCCGTTTTCCCTTCTCAATAATTGTGGCTTTTTTCCTTCCCTTTTCTGCTATGAATAGAAGATAACTCGGGAATTTGACGGATTTGACCTAAAAATGTTTTAGGTCGGTTCAAATGACCCAAATTCAGATTTTTCACTTATATGACCCAATTCCTCTTTTGCTTACAAATCAAGGTCCGTGAAATGACGAAACTGCCCCTGCTTTATATAAAAAACCTGACAATGTATAGCTCTAAAAAAACTCGACGGAGATCGCATAGAACTCGACGGAGTTTTTAATATATTTCACCAACCTAGATTTTATTAGTCACCAACCTCTTGTACGATCATTAATGCAATTAATTTCATTCAAAATGGATTAGTTCTTTTTTGTATTTCTCTTCATCCGCAGAGAACAATTACTTTCAGTGTTTGAAACGTGCTTTCGTGCAAGATCCATTGTTTTTTTTAACCTCGGAAAGATCTATTGTTTGAAACGTGTCTTTCGTCATCTTCAAACGATCAGGT